TTGCATTTCCATTGTAGTGTTGATTCTGGGTTATTCTTATGACTATACACAATGGCAACAAAGAAGATATAGACTTTAGTAACTATCTTAGTTTAATATCTGGGCCCATCAGGAGCTCCAAATGCTGAAAAAGTGATAAAAATCAAAGCAGGTCACGCCTAGTCACGGCAAGTTAAATTTTAGATTAAGTTGGTTTATTGGTTATTATGTTTCTTTGGGGGGGGTTTGGAACGTATGAATTCCCGTAGATTTTGCCGAAAGGTGGGTTGGGTTCCTGTAGAGTTTTGGCGCATTAGTCAGTAGAATTTCAAAGATGGCGGGTAATTCCATAGAGACCCATTAGGTGATTTGAAGCATTTTTATGCTAATTTTATGCATTTTCATTAACTATTCTTCTTATCTAAGCCTGTTTTACCCAATAATTTCCCTGATAACATTCATGCTTTTCTCTGCTATTAGGACTATCAAATCAAGATCGTTGATGGAGAAATGGTAGTCGATCTCCTCAACGCCGAGAATTGATGAAATAATTGGATTTCCTGGAGAAAAATATCATTTTGGGAGGGGCTGTCACTATTGTTTGGTGAGTAGTCCCTTGGAACATCCACAAGCTCTATTTTGACAAAATCTATGCTAGCTGAGTCATGGAGGCTATGATGCATTATCTGCAGAAAAAGTGCAGGGGTCTCATAAGCATATACCTTATCACTGTCTAAATCACGCCCTAATAAATGGATATCACAAATTTTTAACATCATAATTGCTAAATTCAATGTTGTGACAACCACAGTTTACTCCAACATTTAATTTCCACAGATTTTGATGCTCAAAGACTTGTTTCACATACACTGGTTTGACAAAAAATTACTGACAGTGCAATATTAAAGTGGGATATATTACCCATGGTGTATGAGTAAAATTTGCTGATATTTACCACCAAAACTGTAAATAATATACATTTAAAAGCAATAACGACAAGACAACAATCAATCAAAAAAGTTTGTGGTGGTTTGGATACACCAGAAGCAACTATGTGTGGAAGACACCCTAGTGGAAAGATGGGGCGGTGGGGGGTGGGGGGGAGATGACAGGTCGACTAAACTCTAATGGCTTTTAGGGTGCATAGGGAGAAAAGATGCCCAGTCACGCAGTTGACCCAGTGACAGTGTAAAAGGTATAGGGATGGGAAAGGGGTGGATGCTCAGTTCTCTGTGCCCTTGTGACTGTAGGAAATACAACTGAGAAAATCTGGTTCAATACCATGCACTCCTGGCCTCCAACTCGTGTTGAAAAGGGTGAGGTTTAATTTGGAATTTCAATATGCATCATCGTCATCTGTGCAGAAAATAACAAAGAAAACAAAAACATACACATATTTCCATCTTCTACGACTCAACGAATTCCTCATATTCACACACACGTATCCAGATTGTGATACATTAAATATTACATTTTTCTTCATTTTCAATACTTGAAGACATCAAGACAACTCCAGGGGCGACGTCAAAGTCATTAATTGAACGCATATTACGTCTTCCTCCCACTTGACAAGTTCAATAATGCATCGAGTGAAAGGAACCTCGATAAAGTTAATGTCATGTTAATATCATATTTTCTTCCTTAAAATACCAAGAGCCAATACCATATTTCCAATCAAACCTTACAAGAAGCTCATAACCCATTTCTAGCTTCGTAAAAATTCCATAATCAACTTATTTTTTACATTCATATTGCGACCCTGAGTTCCCACCCCCTTCTAAACAAGTCTTTAAAACCCTTTTAAAAACTCACCCAAATAGAGATCCTAGAAAGCCTTTGGACGAGGTGAGCTTCTTCTCAGCCTCGGCCATCAGCTGCATCGCCTTCTGCTCCGCGTCAGCCATCGTGAAGAGGGAAAAAAAGATGAAAATTCGAGCTACACTTTAACCTTCTTTCTTGAACGAGTGACAAGGCTCGTCTGCCTCTTCAAACAATACGGTTTGGTGCCGTAGTGTGATTTTGTTTTCAACTATGGTCTTGTATCGCTTCAGTGAGCTTTTTAAAAGTTCGAAGTCTTTTATACTCCTCAACTCTTCGTCCTATAAAGGATATAACCTTATAGAAGAGAAAGGGTCATATCGTCTATAGGGAGTATTGACTAATCGATTGTATCAAAGACTATATACGAAGGAAAGGTAACTTCCCCCTTGTATCGACATAAAAACGCTCACATTCTCTTGTCGTTCAGCGCCATCTATTGAGCCTAAGGCTACCTAAATGGAAAGCGCGAAATAATTGCTGCTTGTGTAAGCAATATGAGAAATATACATTCGAACTTTATTAGATATTACATAGGTAAGTTTTTGACGTATGATTTTTTTATATATATGAGTATTTGATGAAATCAATTATATCATCTTATATATTTACACGCTTAGACCAGTAACGGATTTGGTCTATTACTATTAAAGGAGGGTCGAATTAAACAAATCAAACTGAAAGCTCTTTAGCTTAATTTTAC